GTCTAGTAACTTGTAGGTTACTAGACGCTTTATTTATTTTAATTCCACCGTCTAGTAACTTGTAGGTTACTAAACGCTTTATTTATTTTAATTCCACTATCTAGTAACTTATAGGTTACTAGATGCTTTATTTATTTTAATTCCACTGTCTAGTAACTTGTAGGTTACTAGACGCCTTAATTATTATTATTTGCCATTTTCTTTTCCTAATTTCGTAGCCTGCTGTTTGAAACAGGTTTGCTTTTCTAGAATTTATATTCTAGATTTTTAAACAACTTCTCTACGCAATAAAAACTACAAAAAAAAAACTGCCGCTTTTTAAGCACTTTATCTCCGTCTTCCTCGCTAACTTGCCTAGCTTAGGCAGTTAGCCCTTTTAATTTAAGTAGCTAATACTGCTTATATTAAACAAGTAGCTTTCCCAGCTTAGGTAAATACCTAGAACGCCCTAAGAGTTTAAGTAGGCGTTCCCCTACCCAGTTTAAGGGGTTAAAACTCCAAACCTGTAATACTTTCTTTTTTTTTTGCTGCAAACTTTGCTGCTTTTTAATAAACAAAAAAAGTTATATATTTTATATTTAACTAAGCTAGCGGCGGGCTTACGCTTAGTAGCTTGTAATAATAAAGCTACTTAACTATTTATACAACTTAGCTAAATAACTAAGTTATTTGTAAAGGATTTAATTCTGCGCACTATACAATTGCAATATACTAGCTAGTAGCCCTAATTTTAATAAAACTGCTAATGCCGGCCTAGTAAAGTTTTAGGCTAAAAGCTTATTTATATCCAACTAGTGCAGGCAGAAATTACCCTATTCTAGTATAAATTCTAACTTAGAAGCGTTTAACTATAATTTAGTAAATAGTAGTTTTGCAGCAATGCCTAGTTAAACAGCTGCAAAAACTAATTATTTAAAACTACAGTTTTTCTTGTACTAAGCAGTATTACTATTAGGGCAAAATTATTAGTAGAGTAAAACTAATTTGTTTTATAACAGTCTAAACCCAGCTTACATTCCTTATTAGTAAGTAAATAATCTAATACTTACTAAATTCTGCTTTAGTATAATAGGAAGAGCTAATATTAAAAAATTAAAAAGCAATATTGCTATAAACGCTTAGCTACTACAAGCTAGTTATTCCTATAGTAACTTTTCTAGCACTTCTAGCTTCAAATTTTAAGAAACTAAAAAATTAATAGGCTACACTTTTATAGTTTGTATTTACACTAAAAATTAAAATTAAAAAAACTTTTACTTTTTTGCTTTACTAGAAATTTCTATTTTCTATAAGTCCCTTTTAAGACACCTGCGTTATAGTTTAATAAATGTACTACCCTAGCTAAACTTCCTACCTAATAATATTTTCAACCTAGATTGGCCTACAAAAAACTTTAACGCTAGAAGTTAAGTAGTAAAGCCTAGCTCCGCTTTATTAAATAAGTAAAAAAACTATAAAAGTAGTAGTATTTCACCGGCGCCAAAGCTCCTACCTATTCTATACCCCCTATATTTTTTTACAATATTAAACTAGAGTTAAGCTTAATAGGGTCTTCTTTCCCTGCTAATTTAGCTAAGCCTATTCCCTTAGCTATAGTTTTACTAAATAGTAAATAAAAATAGTAGAAATTTTATTAATCTATTTATGCGCATTACTAATTAAATAATAAAGCATTTAGCTACTTTAAAAAAGTTATAGTTACTCCTGCTATTTACCCGCGCTTAGTTGAATTTCTTTGCTTTAATATTTAAAATACTAAGCAGAAATTATATTGCATTAATACTACTTTCTAGCTATTATAATGCTATGTTTTAATTAGACAGTTAGATTCCCCTTATTTATACTAGTTTTAAGTTAGTTGTTAAATGCATGCTAAATAGCTAAAGCCTGCTAAAAGTGCTTGTACTTTAGCGCTAAAAAGCGCCTACTTTGCAGCTAGTACTTTTTTGCGCTAAAAGTTTTTCTCTAAAGCCTAATATGCTTAATTTTTAAAGCTAATTTTTTTCCTAAAGTTACAGATCTATTTTGCCAACTTCCCTTATCTATATTATTTTATTAACTAGAGGCTTTTTACTTTAAAAACTTGCTGCGGTTATAAGTATAACCTAGTATAAAAACTATTTTTTTAAGTAGATTTTTAAGGCTTATTAAAAGCGCACTAAATGCTATAAAAGTGCAGCACTTTTTTAGCTATTAAACCCTAGCTCTAGACAAACTAATTTCAGGGTAATAAATTATTAAAAAGAAAAGAAAACTCTTTTTAAAGTTCCTACTAAAGTTTCTGCTCTTAGTTGCGTTGCTGTAGAAAATTTATATTTAAGTACTAGAATATTAACTAGCTTCCCTTTTAAAGGCGCGGCGCAAGCGCTAATATTAAAATAAAATTACTCTATTTTTTAGGATTAACTAACTTATATCTAACTACTATTTATATAGAACTTTTCCCTACTTTAGTCCTTAAAGTTTTTATTTAAGTATTTGCTACTACTACTAAAATCTGCACTAAAAGCTATTTAACTTAGAATTACCCCTAAAGCTTTATTACAAGCTTCTATACCTGCCTACTTGCTAGGGCTTAAATTTTACTCTAGCAGTAGGGTATAGGTAATACACTTAAGCGCTATTTATTTTTAGAGCTAGTTTATTTAGTAGGTAAGTTATTACACACTTTTTAGTAAATTCCAACTTCTATAGCTACTGTCCTGCTATTTAGATAAACTAATACTTTTTGTAATATCTAATAAGCGTATATTCTAGCACTTTAACCCTGCGTTTAGTTTATTCTGCATTGCTAGTTCTATTTACTAAAAATAGCCTACTAGTAACGGTATATTTAAGTATTTATATTTAATTAAGTAACAAAAACTTCTTACATATTTAAAATTTAAGAATAGGTAAAAGTTATTTTAACTCCTAGGCTTCTAATTATTCGCTTTACTTTATAAAACTAAATATATTACTACTATTTTAAGGGAAACTTTAGCAGGAACTAGCTACTAAATAGTTTAATTAGTTTTTTGCTTCTATGCCCAAATTTAATAATTAATTTGTATATTAAAACTGCTATAAGCTTTTACTAGAGTTTCTTTTAGCTTTACCCTATTTAAGTATAATTTACTATTTTTTAAGTCCTAATAGCTATGTTTTTACTCAAATCTATCTAAAAATATTAGGATTAGTTAATAGTGTACCCTAAAAAAAATCCTACTTCTATTTACTTTTATTATGCGTTTAGGCTTAATACTTAAATACTTGTATAAATATTAAACTCTTTAGTCTGTGTTTTAAAACAGGCTGCTTATAGCTATTACACTAGTATTTTAGTAGATGTACAAATTTTAGTTTAAGCTAGTTGTATATTGCCTTTTTTATAAAGCTTCCCTAAAAAAAAGTACATAATAGAAGCTTTTATCTAACTACTTAAACTAATACTAGTTTACTTGCAGAAGAGTGCACTAGGCAAAAACTTAAATAAGTAACTATAGGCAAGTCTAGCTGCAAGCGCTTTCTTTTTAATAATTTTATATACTATTTAATTCTTTTTTTAAAGTGCTTTTTATTTTTTAATTATTCTACTTGTGCACTATTAGTTTTTAGCCAGTATTTAGCTTTAAAAGAAATTTACTTTTTATTTAAAACTATATTCCTAAATAATTTAATTTATTAAAGGGGCTTTACACAGCAAAAGTTAGCAACTATGTACAGGATTTTTACCCTCTATAACATTCTATTCTAAAAAACTTAAACTACTGCTAATACTAAAGCACCCTCTGCAAATTACAACTTAAATTCTAAAAAAGCTAGATTTTAAATTTAAGCTAATACCGCTTCACTCGCTATTATTAGGGCAATCCCTATTAGTTTTTTTTTTTCTGTTTATTAATATACTTAAGTTTAGCAGGTATTTCTACCTAATTTAAAGTTAAGAGCAAAAGTATAGGCTTTATAAATATAAGCGTTTAAGCTAAAAAATGCAAAATATGCTATACTCTAAAGCAAGTATGCTAGCTGCTAATTACTTTAAAGTAAGTCCTGCGCATAAAATAAAAACAAATACTTAATACTAAATAAAGCTTAAAAGTACAAATAACGCTTAAATAAACATGCTTTATAAAATACTAAAAGGCGCAATATGCGTTTAAAAATTCAATAATTTACTAAATTTTGCAATTTATACTACTTTTCGCATTTTGCTGCGTTTTTTATCAATGCTAGAACTAAAAAATCTATTATTAAAAGTTGTAATTATTATATATTTTCTAACGCTAATTGCAATTACAAAAAGTTTTTATAGTATTTTATTAGCAGGTAGAGCCCGCCAAAGAAATAAATAGTATGCAAAAAATAAAAATTTAAATAAAAACTAAAGTTTTTCTAAAAATTAGTAATAATTTTTCTGCAAGTTTACTTACAGAAACCTTATTACAACTTTTACTTCTTCTAAATAACTAAGTTTAATAAACTTTTTAATTTAAAGTAGTTATTACTAACTTCCTTAAGCCAGTCCGAAGGCCTTACTAAGCTATTTAATTAGTAGTAGCAATAAGTAGTATATATAAAAAGCAAAAATATAATTAATGCATGCTAATAATACGCGCTTACTAAGCATTCTTTATTAAAAAGTAATAATTACAATACTTTATTCCTAGCACGATAGAGTTTAACAAGATTACCCAAACTTTTTAACTAAAATAAAAAACTTATTAGCTTTATTAGTATAGCGCGCGTGTAGCCTAAAATATTTAAAAGTATTATAGACTTATTATTGCTTTAAACTTCTATCGGCTTAAGCTAATAGTTTTTCTAAAAAGCTAGCAACTAGCTAAAGCTAGCCTAGCTATTTAGTAGGTTAAAGTTTTATTTATTATTGCAATTAAGCAAACAAATTACTCTACTAACTAAAAACGGCCATGCACTACTACCTAAAAAATTAAAAAAAAGTTCTTAATTTATTAATCCTTATTTTATCTAAACCTAGTAAATTTCCCTGTATTAAGTTAAATTAAGCCGCAGGCTCTACGCCTAGTAGTACTTTTCTATTAATTTTTTTAAGTTTTAGCTTTGCAACTATACTCCCCCTAAAATTTAAAAACTTTAATTTCTTGTAAAGTACTGAGCGAGTTAAAAAAAAAAATATTGCTTAATTTCTAGTTAGCATAGTTTACAGTTAAGACTACAATAGTATTTAATTATTTTTAATCCCCTAATTTTTATTTACTAATTAATAAAAATATTCTTAGTAAATGCTTTCGCAGTAGTTAGTTTTTAATAAATCCAAGAATTTTACTTCTAATAATTAAATACTAATGCCCCTAACTATCTTTATTAATTATTACAGTAGTCCTAGAAACCAACAAAATAAAACTGCACGTCCTATTTTATTATTCTATACTAACGTATTTAAGCAAAAGCCTGCTTTAAATACTCTAATTTTTTTAAAGTAAAAGTCCTAGTTTCTAATACGCCTAGTAAAGGGCATAAAGTTTTCTAAAAAAAAGGCCTAGCTAGACAAGTACACGCAGTAAAGCAAACCTACTAGCTAAACCCAAGTTTTAACTACAAGCTTTTTAACTGCAACAACTTTAATATACGCTATTAGAGCTAGAATTACTGCAGCTGCTAGCACTAGACTTGCCCTCTAATTATTCCTTATTAAAAAGTTTAAATTGTACTTATTCTAATTACAAAACCTAAAAGAACTTTGTATTAGTATTTATTATTACTACCTCTTTATATTAGGATTGGGTAATTTGCGCGCCTGCTGCTTTTTTTAAATATAGTAGCTATTTTTTAGGCTCCCTTTCTAGAATTAAACCCTAATTCCCTATTACTTATTAAAACTATAGTAAGCTAATACCTTACTATTAAAAGTTAATAGGGTAGAAATTTAAATAAACTGTTGCTAGCGCAAAGCTATACAATTTGTAAAGTTATTATAAATTACTAAAAAGCTCTAAAAAGCGTTGGTTTTTTATCTAATAAATATACCCCTTTTAAAGTTAGGGTTTTCAGCATATATTAGCTCTAGAATTACTACAGTTATTTAAGTAGTAAGGTACTATTAAATAAACAATAACTAATTTAATAAGCTATTCGCAGTTTTACAGTATAATTGCTTATACTTAAATATATATAGCTTAATTTTTAAAACAAGCATATAACTACTAGCAGAATTAACTAAGTAATAATTCTATACTCAAGTGCACAAGGCACGCGGGCACAAACCCCCCAAAAAAAGCAAAAAGTACTAAGCAGGTAGCTATACAAAGCAGCGCTAGCTACTTACTACAAAAGTATACAAAGCACTAACGCTACAAGCAACTAATTTAGTTACCCCTACTAAGTTCCCTAAAGTACAGTCTAAAATAGAATATTACTAGTATTATTACTAAAAAAGACCCGCACTATATGTACTTTAGAAAAAAAAAACCTATAATTACTTTATTACGCACGCAAGCGCAGATATTTAGTAAAAGTATTCCTAGAAATTTAATAAACAGTTAGCAAAGCTAGCTATCTACAGACCCTAAATAGTACTTATTTGTAAAAATAAATAGAACTTTAAATATTAACTGCAAGAATAAGTGTAGCGCTAAAGTATTGCTTTATAATATAGGCTTTAGCTAACTTAATTAGGCAGAAAATAGCTGCCCAGCCCCTAATATTGTACTAACTAGAATAAATATTACTAGCTAATATTTAAAAAACAAGGCGTGCAAATATAAGACTATAAATACGCAAGCTGCCTACTAATAATACTTAAGCTATTACTAAAAAGTAGTAGAAAATAAATATAGGCAAAACAATTTTTAGGCTACCTTTTTTATGCTATGCACCCTACTAATAGCTAGCTTCTAAGTATAAAAAGCTTCTAGAAGCTTTTTCTATGCGCAAAACTAATAAGTACTAGTGCGCTTATTAATAAGGCACTTTATAGCAAGCAGATTAACTTAATTAAAAGCTTATTATTGCTACTGCAAAGAAGGAAAAATAGGCAGAGAAACTAGCATACTAGCTCTATTTTTAGGCAGAAGCTTATTTTATACCCTACTACTAACTATTATTTATGCTTTAACGCCCTTAAAACTTACTGCAAATAGTAGTAAACAGAATAGTTATATTTTTAAAAACCTTAACTGCCTTTTTTATATAGTATATAAAAGTAATTAACTCTAGTTTTTGCGTCGCAGGGTAAATATAGCAGAAAATATATTAAAGCTTAGGTTTTTACTAGCAAAATTGCAGAAATATGCGCAGCGCTATATAAACTATAAACTTATATTTACTAACTTACGCAACATAGTTGTTTT